ATGTGTGTGAGGGTGGACATGTTTGGAGGTTGCTGTGTTGAAGCTCCATGGATCAGCCTCTCTGCAGCTCTCAGCACCTTCACTGAGCCTTGAGGGAATCACTGAGCTGCTCTTGTTCTTCACAGTTAGAAGGTGGGAGCTCTCGTCAAATGATGATCTCCAGCATCATCTTGTTCATGCCAGGCTTTTCATCCACTGACCACACACACCTGGAAGCATCAGGGGGACCAGCAGCTGTTTAACACATCTGGAAGGAAACCAGTGAGATTTTAATAAGACCATGACTATGATATGATGTTATGTGGGGGAGTGGTGGAGCAGAGGTTAGAAGATGGGCCTGTGATCGGAAAGTTGCAGGTTCAACTCCCGGTACCATCAACATCAAATGTGGGTGGAAAAGGTGAAACACCTGCCTCCACCCTCATTGGCCCCACTCTGGGCCCCTGAGCAAGGCACTCAACCCCCACCATCTGCGCCTAAACAGGTCTCTCTAGAAAATGAGTTCTTGTGACTCAATGACACTACCTGTATAAATAAAGGCTAAATGAAAAAATAAAAGTTTAAAATAGAAATACTCACATCATGAGGCCGAGGTTGTGTGCGTGACGTGCACGTTCCTGAGAGTGTGTGGGTGACGTGCACGTTCCTGAGAGGCCACAGACAGAGCAGCTGCAGCTTTTGTTGAGTTCTTGTAGTCCTGCAGTTTTCAAGCTGAAATGAAAAAACATCATGAATATGAACTTTACAGTCTTTAGTTACCTGTTCATAGAAACACATGGAGGTGTCTCACCTTGACTGACAATAAAATATGTAACTTTATGAACTCTAATGAACTTATAATGATGCTCCTACTCTTTGAAGGTGAACCCATGGTACCACACCATCTCTCAGTCGGACAGTCTGATCAGTTTGATCAAAATCCTCCAGTTTAAAATCCTCACTGCTCAGATGAATCCTCCTCAAAGATACTTCCTCCTCTTCCTCACATCTTCTTCTTTGGGAAACCTTCAAAATGAAAACAGGAGATTTGTGTCTACACAAAAACATTGTACAGATGGGGTCAATCTTATTTTCTATTTCCTATATTCTCCCTAGTTTTATTTTTTTAATTTTCTAGAACTTAAACAAAACTCCAGTTTTGATACATATCTGTTGATAATGAACCAAAGCTACTGAAATAGTGAGTATGCTTGTTAGAAAAATATTCCTGTCATCAGATCTCAGTCAGCTTCATTGCAGCTGAACACCGTGTTACACTGAACATCACATCAGCTGGTGGACAAAAATACAGTACAGTAATATTCTATTCACAAAATACTAACAATAATATGTTCATCTTACTGTGAAAAGTTATCCCACGAGACCTGACGTCAACAGTCCGACGATTAGAACAGAAATAAGCTGCGAAGTGCTGAGACATCTGCTTTAACCAAATAAGGACGACCGTTTCAACATGGCGGCCGAAAATCCTGCGCCGCAGCAGCCAATGAGGCATCTAGTGTTTATCTCTATGGTAGCCACAATGAGGAGAAGGGGTTCTCTGCAGACCAAAAGTGGGTGTTTCTGGCGAGTAGGCGTTTGTGGGCGGCGAACACTGATTGGCTATGGGTAACCCTCAAAGTCACGAGGATTATTGATGAGGTAACGCGTCTTTGCGATGTTTTGACAAAGAAATATGATTTATTGTACTTATAAATTATGTTATTTTTTCACTTATGCATATAATTGAAGTACGTTTATTGTAGGTCACGATAGTTTCGACCGTTCTCTCCTTGTTGTCGTGCTTTAGAAGTTTAGCTCATGTGAAAACATGGTGAGGAATTACTATGCTAGTAACGCACTGAGGTAAAGTGAGCCTCCACTCGGCTCCGGCGTAAAGAGAGAGTTGCGACACTCTTTGAACTCGCCGATACGCGGTCACGTGGTTCATGCAGCTCCCAATAGTTCCAAACAGCTCATCGCCTTCAGTCAGTTTGAGCAGCTGCTGGCGCAACATAACACATAAATCGACTTTTCTTACTTTACCTGACATCTTTCAATAATTATTGAGCAGTAACGAACTGATTACTGATTATTTCACAGACTACGCATTTTATCAAAGCGTTTTTAGAAGCGGCTGATACATTTATCATTAAATTTTAGAAGGAAACGAGACAGCAAACACATATTTGTTAGAAAAAAATGTATATGCAATACAATGATCAATATAGCCATGCCAGTGTTTTATAACGTTACACACGTTAAAAAAAAGATCAGAGTAACACCTGTTATAAAGCTGTTTCTGATGTTCTCTGCAGGATAATGCTGCACCTGGTCCTCCATGCAGCAGTTCAGATCTGTTGCAGCTTACCTCAGATCATCTGGATGAATTCTTGATTTTTATAGAAGATACTAATTCAACCTTTATTTAAACAGGTTCGTCCCACTGAGCCACGAGGACTCATTTACAAGAGAGACTGAATATAATAGTTGTATTTGTCGTTTTTTTATGGCAACCAAGTACCTGATAACTGAGTTGATTGTAGCCTGACAACTATTGTAAAACTGTAATTCATTGATAAAAATGTGAATTTAAATGAAACTGTTTCTAGTTAAAATCATAACAGATGACAAAATAAGTGTTAACTCTGCAAAAATAAATTTCCAAACAATTTATTATAAAATATGTAAAATGTAAAACAAGCTTTAATAAAGTACTTTTACTGACATTTATACTGTTTATTAATGACATCATCTCAAGTCAGCAGGAGCACCATCATCATCATCACAACAACACAAAGTGAGAGCTGTAAATTTAATCTGCACAAACATTTTCAATCAGGGCTCAAAATGTTGAACTGTCAAAGAAATGTGCAAGAAAATAAACTAATGTCACTCTACAGGCACATTTAGAGAGAGGACAGTTCACAGAGACACAGTGAGGACGTGTGAGACAGAGACACAGTGAGGACATGTGAGACTGAAGGAGGTTCAACCAGTTGTTCATGGACCAGAACCAGATGAGAAGAACAGCAAAACTTCCACTGACCAGTGATCTGACCAGTGATCTGACCAGTGACCTGACCAGTGACCTGACCAGTGATCTGACCAGTGATCTGACCAGTGATCTGACCAGTGATCAAGACATGTCATATTTTTATTGAACAATAATCTTCATTCTAACAGTGACGTTGTAATTTCAGAGACTGAGGAAGAAACAGAAATGAGGCGAGTGAGATGACGGAAAGATGAAAATGTGTCCTCAGAGGACGGGGACATGTCAGGATCTGATGATCCAGGATCAACAGGACCAGGAGGATGAATCAACAGGCAGTCAGGGAACAGAGATGAACAACCTGAGGAACAATTAGAACACAAAAAAAATACATAAGCAGGACAGAAGAAACTCACCGACAAGAAAATTAACTCAGTCCTGTGAAGAAAAATGTTAACAATGGAAAATAAATACTGATATATTTTTACAAAAGATCAGATGAAGACAACTGGCATGAAGAAGAACTTCCAGCTCCATCTCAATGTACCTGTGATAGTTTAATAAGTTTTTTGTTACTGTTCTACAGTTTATTGATGCTGATATATTCTTGGTAATAATTCTTATTTCTTGTTCTGTCTTGAAAGAGTCTCATCTCAACTTGACCCATGATTACCAAACACTAAACTAATAATATAAAACTAATGTAAATGAACAGTCCTGCAGTAAATACCAACTTTGTGAAGGTTATGATGTTAAAGTAATTTTATTCAAACATCTTGATTCAGCTGTTATTGATTAATAGAAGACAGAAAATGAGATCGTGTACCTTTGTGATACTTTGAATGCAACATTCAGTTCATGAAGTCATTCTCCTCTGGTTTACCTGGAAAACATGAAAAAAATTGACTCATCTCCACGATCACGTTTTTCTTTAATGATAATGTCACAATTTATGCTGCAGTCTTTGACAAATGATCTATAACTTTAACTAAATGACGTCAATCTTGTTGTCATGTTGTCATCATTCTTTGTTAAATCAGGTCTCTCTTGTAAATGAGTCCTCGAGGCTCAATGGGATTTATCTGTAGAAATAAAGGTTGAATGAATCTCTCAGGAAAAAAAGGCCAAATATTTTCTAGTTGAGTTCAGTAACTGGAATTACCATAAATTTAAAAAAGACCACTTTTCAAAATGTAAGCAGTAATGGATATTTTAAAATGCTGAATTAGAAATAGACCCGTTTAAACCGTCATGTTGCAGAGCAGCTGCAGTTAAAACACAACTAGCAATTTAACACGTT